CATAGTGAAAAGTAACTCCAAACCCATGTAACAATGTGTGGGTTATAATCTGGCACAGGGCAGAACTCATGAAAACTGACACGCTCTATCCACAATCTATTAAGGCAGTTTACTTTTGGCCTGCTAAAGATTAGATGCTCTTTGGCAAGTCATTGTCTCTTCTCTTTCATCGCTCCACAAAGCATTTGTCTAGGGCCAAACAGGTGGAACTTGCAATCCCCCCTTGAATATGACAGGTTTTCGTCACTGCTCAGGTAACAGCTACTTTCCAGTTCTCTATCTCAGAGGGGCTCTTGGTCCCAGAGGGTATGTCTACACAGCAAGTTTTTTCGAAATAACAGCTGTTATTTTGAAATAACTTTCCTAGCATCTACACAAGCCAACTATTTCGAAATTAATTCGAAATAGGAGGGCTTATTTTGAAATTGGTAAACCTCATTCCATGAGAAATAGCACCAATTTCAAAATAAGTGCTGTGTAGATGCTTATTTCGAAGTAGGGGGCCTCCAGCCCTTCCCAGGGTGCCCTGCTGGCCACAAGGTAACTTCTGATCTGATGCCCCGCCGAAACCAGTTCTGGCTGGCCTTAAATGCGATTCAGCATCCAATCAGTGTGGATGCGCTATTTTGAAATAGCAAAAAGCTATTTCGAAATGCATTTTGTGTAGAGACACGTTATTTTGAAATAAGATATTTTGAAATAACGCTGTAGTAGACACTTATATTCAATGTATTGCTTTCCACTGATTGGCTCCTAGCTGTGTCCATTCACTACACACCCTTTTTATCAGCTACACTCCACTCACACACATGCTGCTGCTCACATGCTGGTTGTCAGCAACACCACTAAGTTCACACCAGTTCTATTATTTCCCAACTATCTACTCACTGCCCTTCCCCAACTGCCCTCTCTGCTTGGGGGGAAAAAGGCAGTAGTGACAAGATGGTGCCCTGCCAAGTTTCTTGAGCAGGAAAGTGCAGGTGCAGAGAAGGCCTGGCTGGTGCAGGAAGGAGTTAGCAAGGGAAACCTGTTCTCTTTGCTGAAGGCTGCATCATTCTTTTCACTCTTTTCAGTGGGGTCGTCTTTCTGAGGGAGAGGAGAGTCTCTCTCATCGCTTGAATCACTGCAAGGGAGCATTTTAAAACAGGGTAAGTTTCAAGTGAGATGCAGGAATTTGATGCATAAGGCTTCAACAGATGGTCTGGCAGGTACTCACCTAAAAGCCTGAACAATAACAGTGCCAAAGAGAATGAAGAGGGCTGAGAAGATTAGGGACAGAAGTGGCATCATTTCCCGCCTAAAAGAGAAGGTTTGCAGTAAGTTCTGAGTTCCTACAGCAGGGTGGGCAAATATTGGCCTGTGGGCCGAATTCGGTTTCCCAGGGTTAGCCCCTCCTAGGCTGCCCCTATATTTACCTGCACCTCCGCAGGTATAAGCAATTGCATCTCCCATTGGCTGTGGATCGCTGTTCCCAACCAATGGGAGCAGTGGGAACTTGTGTCCCGGTCTGTGCTGCTTCCTGCAGCTCTCATTGGCTGGGAATGGCGATTCCTGGCCAACGGGAGCTGGAATCGTCTTTACCTGCGCCTCCCCAGGTAACTCTAGCAGTGGCAGCCCATCTGGGGCTAACCCTGGCAAACCGCAGTAATATCGCCCACCCCGATCTACAGTCAACTTCTACCACAGGACTTCAACTCCCTTCCACCCCAAATAACAACATATTTTCCTTGAACAGACAGTCTCCTGTCTGAAGGCCTTTAATGGATGTTTTCTCAATGTTCCCCTCTCTGAATGAAAGGCAGGGAGACAAATGGAAGAATGTTTTTAAAAATACTAACTGCTAAAGAAAACCCACACAGCAAGACTACCAAGCCAGGCCTATTGCCAACAGGAATGGTGTGTATTCAATAGCACAGAATCCAGTGGCAGATCTCAACTTCATTGCTCTTCACTGGCCCACAGTTTCTCTCCAAGAGAAGATATGTGTCTCCCTCTCTGAATGAAAGGCAGGGAGACAAATGGAAGAATGTTTTTAAAAATACTAACTGCTAAAGAAAACCCACACAGCAAGACTACCAAGCCAGGCCTATTGCCAACAGGAATGGTGTGTATTCAATAGCACAGAATCCAGTGGCAGATCTCAACTTCATTGCTCTTCACTGGCCCACAGTTTCTCTCCAAGAGAAGATATATGTGTCTCCTTCTGTCCCTGTCAAATACCTCTCTAGCTTTGGATATGCTTTTGAATTTCTCGTCAGGCAAGACAGAGGGCTATTAAGCCTATACACAAAATAAGAGCTACATTGATCTTTTAAAATCTGATTCCGTACCAGTTGTTATGAAATATGCTGTCCCAGCAGTCCGAGACATACTCCATTGCAGAGTAGAGCCATCGGAGAAAGAACACCTGTAAAGATACAACACATCAATGACTAGGTGACTGCTCTCTCCGCCACCCATAGAGAAACAAATCAGCTAGGTGACTTTGCACTCCTTGTCCAAACCAGTTCAACTACCTCACATCACGGGGGCTATCCCCTGCTCCTGATGAGTACACAGCAAAGTAGGGATGTAAATAACATGTAAAAACAGGAACTGTGTAAGTTACTAAAAACATTTAACCAGGGAACTAGGGGTGTATGGAGTGCACCCAGGGATCCCTGGTGCTCCATGCCTGAGACTCTGCTTCCAACCGTGCCTGGCATCCCAAAGCTAGCATCTGGCAGGAACCCCGGGCACAGGGCCAGCAGCTGAGATGACAGGTGGCAGCTAGAAGCTAAGGCACACAAGACTACCAAGAGGGTCCCTAGGCACATGTGGTGGGACTTGGAGTTTAATCATTAACTGAAACATAAACATCAAGCTTATTGGTTAACCGAGTAAACGTTTACATCCTTAAATGAAAGTCTTGCCTCTCTAATACTCAATCTCCATACTGCCCATCACTGACCACAGAGATGCAATCTTAGGGTATGTCTAAACTACATGGCTCCGTCGACGGAGCCATGTAGATTTGTTTGTTCGGCAAAGGGAAATGAAGCCGCGATTTAAATAATCGTGGCTTCATTTAAATTTAAATGGCTGCCACGCTGAGCCAACAAACAGCTGATGAGCTGTTTGTCGGCTCAGCTGATCAACGGTTTGTCGGCTCAGCGCGCTAGTCTGGATGCTCCCACACCGACATGAAAGCCCTTTATCGACCTCCCTGGTAAACCTCATCCTACAAGGCATAACAGAGAGGTCGATAAAGGGCTTTCATGTTGGCGCTGAGCCGACAAACAGCTCATCAGCTGTTTGTTGGCTCAGCGTGGCAGCCATTTAAATTTAAATGAAGCCACGATTATTTAAATCGCGGCTTCATTTCCCTTTGCCAATCAGCCTAATCTACATGGCTCCATCGATGGAGCCATGTAGTTTAGACACACCCTTAGAGTTAAGTAGAACCAGCTAACAGAGGTTCATTACACCTCTATACAACTGAGAATACTTACAGGAGCAAGTTCATCATTCAAATCTGGCAGGAGAGTGTCTGAAGAAAGAAGACCAGCATCTGTTCTTAACTGAGCCAGAAGATCCAAAAGAATGAAGTTATCCTCTTCACTGCCCTGCCAGGCATCTTCCAAGATTTTATAGACCACTCTTCCTACATTATTGCGCCTTTCCAGGATGGCCACCTGAACAAATCAATAACATCACCAGCTTTAGGGAACAAGATCTCAACTTGGAACAATGTCAAATGAGAATTCAGAACTTAGATCCAGATTAAAACCAGCTGTTTCAGTTCATGTCTCACAACACCCATATCAAAGAGCAGGCAAAGCATTGGAATGGGAACAAGTATAAAAACACTGACTACACGTTCCATAATACCCAACAATCAGAGAGATGAACAGCATGTGTTCTCTACACCCTAGCTCCTATTCTTTGGAATCACAACACTTATTCTGTATAGTGTTTTTCATATACCCTGCATTCCACATCATATTAAGAGTTAGCAAGAAAGAAAGTAATTAAGACACATAAGCCAGGAGGGAAAAGAGGGATGTCTTCACAGCAGAGATGTAAGATAAAGAAAGGATTTGGGGGTGAAAATATAGGAAGGTCATTCCAAATAGTAGTAGCCGCAGAGGAAAATGCTCTCACATTGAGTGAAGTGACAGAGTAAAATGAGAGAGTAGAACAGTGCTAAATAAGCATTAGGCTGGGGAGGAGAAGGGAAAAACAGGGTCCATCCATGCGTCTGTCAGGAGCAAGTTCATGGAGGGGTTTAAGATAAAGATGACAATTTTGAGCCCGACAGTGAAATGAACAGAGCCAGTGGAATCATGAGAATGGAAGATGCTATGGTTACACTTTGTACACGTCAGAAAGCAAACAATGGAGTTTGCACATCCTGGATCTAGAGAGCTGGGACTGAGACAGATCAAAAAGAACAGAATTGCAATACACAAGACATGAAGGTCCACATGAGGATTTCAGCACAAGCTGACTGGAGGCAGAACACACCAACATACAATACAAGAGAATTTGTTAGAAGTAGACAGGTCTGTCTGATCTTGCCCATAACATGCTCCCATACTGCAAAGAAGCAATGGCAATATTCTCTTCCCCCAAAAAGAAAAAATTTTTTGAGGCTGGGGTGAAAAAGAATAAAGCTCAGAGAAAAAGCAACTGAATTACAGATTAAACAGAAGGAAAAATGTGACACTCACGGCAGATTTCCCCCAATATTTCTCCTCATCCATCAACAAGGCATGGGCAAAGTCTCGCTGACGGTCGTTGTAGATATGCACAAACCTCACGGTGTCTTTTGTGTTTGCCAGAGCAAAGGCCACAAATGCCTCATAGGTCTTAGCAAACTTGTCACCCTCGCCAGTAAGTAAAACCACACAGTACCTAGACAACACAATGAAATGGAGGATTCACAACAGGCCTGGAGATACAAAGGAATAACAAACCCAACCTGCCAACTAGAATGGATCCTGACAAACCAGAGAGACAATTCATTGTGTCTATCTTCTTACATATTCTACTGGTCAATGTTCCAGTCTCAGTCCGTCCCATCTTCTGCGTCCCTGTCCCCACAGAGTTCCTGCAAGGTACTCTGCTCCATAATACAAAACCAAGGGGGTAGTGAACAGAACTGAAGAGTGGCTCGGTTGAAACTGATAAAAAGGAAGCACTTTCACCCAACTCATTGCCTTAGCACAGAGACCAAGATCTTAACAGGATTTAGAAGCGGAACAGACTTTTGATGAATGAGAACCAGCAGCCCAAGTTCTAATATTAAAAATAAAGCCCCCCCCCACTTCCCCTGAAGGGATATAGACCTAATCTTTAACTCTTAGGGGTTAGGAGGAAACTTTCCTGGGTGCAGGCTGTCCCACTGAAGGGCTTCTTGGACATTTCTGGGAAGCATCTGGCACTGACCACTGATGGTGACAGGCTAACCACTGCTCTGATCCTATCTAACAATTTCTGTTCTCCCAATAAATCCCTTTATGGACACCCCCCTCCGAAAGTTAAACAAGAGGTCACCAATAAGCAGCCAGGGGGAGTAGGGAGAGCATGGGGAGAGGAGGAACTCCTATCACAGCGAGCCTTACTTCCGCTGACGGTGAGACTTCTTCACAGGACACAGCTCATGAAACAGTTTCTGGTTGGTGAGTCTGGCTGCCAAAAGGAACTTATTCTGAGAGAGGAAGTCATCAATGAGCTGCTTTTTCATTTCTCGTGCCTAGAAAGGACAAAGCAAATAGGAGACCATCATTATTCAGCTAAACTGGAAAGATGTTCAACACGCATGGAACACAAATGCTCTACAAGTTGAACCTCTCCTGTTTGGCACACTCTGGTCCTGCAAAATCCATGGTCTGGCATGATTTTAATTAGCCAGATGTCCACTCATCATGGGTGTGGCCAAGTTTCCCACGGTCTATAAAGTTTGTTTACAGCCACCAGGCCTGGCTCTGTGCTGTTATTCCACTCTTCACTTACCCCCTACATGTCTTCTCAGAGCCCAGTAAGCTGTGCAAGTGTTGGCAATGTTGCTAGACAATACTGACTTCCCATGGTTTGGCAAATTCTTTGGTTTAGCACCTGTCAGGTCCCAAGGATGCCAGACTAGAGAGGTTCAATCTGTATTGTTAAAGGGTCACCCTAATGAAGGTCAACAAGATGTTTCACCCAATGGAAGAGATGTTCAGGGGACTCGAAGCGTGGCCACATAGGACTACCCCGGGAGAAGGGGTATTTCATGGCTTTTGGTGCTGAGGGGGAAAATATTAAAGCATCCAGTAATCTGAAAATCCCAACTGTCAGAAAGCACAACAGTGACCAAAGGATCTGATAACTCAGCATTTACTGGGGCATACTTGCACAAGAACAAAGGTTTGGGCATATCCCACATGCTGCCTCTCACTATTAATGCACTTTCTCTGTGGAACCTCTAAGTCTCATGGACTAATCTTTCTAAGGAATTCCTCAGAGCCAAGGGTTCTTCCTAGGAGACGAAGGACTTCAGACAATAGTGAATTTAAGAGCTGTCCACTCTCTGTACAATCACTGATATACTGAAGGAGTTGCCCTTCTTCACCAACTTAGCTACAAAACTACATCCAAATGAAAACCACAGCTGCCACCCAATTATCCTCCAAGTTAGTTCACATGTCTGTTGAAACCTACTGAGCTCCCTCCCTCTCTGATAGTCATTCACGATATCCTTCTGAAGCTTTAATTTTGGCTTCCACCAAACCTAGAGTCGGGTTTAAATGCTCCCATGACCAACTTCTGATGTAAGAAACAGGCCAGAAAAGCAATTGCTATCTATTTTACTTGCAACCCAGACAAAGACACAGGCCACAAAGTGATACCTGAATAACGTCAGCAGGCTTATCAATATGTTCCTTGAAGACCATGATGGTGGGGGTGTAGACATTGATGTTATATTGTCTGGACAACTCTTCAGTCCCTCTGAGTCCAACATACACATATCCAAAGGACAAATAATCTCTGTATGCAAAAGCAGTGAGCTAGAGGGAAACAAAGTTCCAGTGCATATTTACCTTGCAGATCATGCTTTGATGCTTCCCCAATGCATCTTATGGTGACTATTCCTGCCTAACCTCAACAGCACTGTTAAGTCTGACCTAGTCAGCATTATAACAGCCAAATGACACAATGTCAGCCCATTCCCTTTACTAAGCTTATTATTCAGTTAGCGTCTTCTTCATACCACAGGAAGGTTGGAGGGTTCATACATTTATTTTACAATCTAAACATTCTATATGTTGCCAGATATTTCTTTAGCAACTCATCATCCTCTAACTCAAACCAAACCCAGTGCTCAAATGGCCCAGATCATTAACTATTTGTGGTGGGAAAGGAATTATGATTTCTTCTTTTGACCCCAACTGCAGTCTTCAAACAACACAACATGAAATTATTCAGGCTGGGTAATGCTGCTTAGAAGAACTATTCAGCTTTTGTCTACACTGAGATCCCATTCTCTACTAAAACAGCAGGATTTATAAAGCTATCCAAATGCCAGAGATAACACACACACTCGTTACCTTGTATAACAATGGTGCTAGTGGCATATGATCAAACAGAAGGACATGGGGTTTATTTTCTTTCTTCCAGTTTGACAGGAATCTGGCATAATTTTTATCTGTAATCTTAAATGTAAAACAGAACATTAGTTTCAACCTCAATACATCCAGAAAACTAAAGTTCAATAAGGTTAAATGGCTGAATTAGAACTGGATTCTAAGAAGTTCCCAAAATGTTATGATTTTTGTGTAAAGGCCAACCTTTGCATCTTTTCCTGCGAAGGCCAAACCATTTTTTTTATATTAGCAGTTCTCTCTGCTTTTGCGAGTTTCTAGATTTGATGTCATAAATTTCTCAGTAACATCATAATCATTTCCACAAGCAAGTACCTGGTGGTCATTACTGATTAGGGATGTGAAGGACTAGTCAACTAGTCACTTCCCCCCACTCTTGTTGCCTCTATCAGAAAGAGGCAGCAGGGGGGCGCAGGGGGGGTGCGAGAGAGTGGAGGGGGTACTTCAAAGCAGCAGCGCCATGTGGAGCCTGGGGCTAGACCCTGTGCTCCATGTGGCACTGCCACTTTAAAACGCTACGTGCAACCCGAGGCCAGCTGGGGTGTCCCCAGGCTGCATGCGGCGTTTCAAAGCAGCAGCACTGCGTGGAGCTCAGGATCAGTTGAGGATTCCTCTGCATGTGGCGTTTCAAAGCAGCAGCACTGCATGGAGCCCAGGATCAGTTGAGGATTCCCCTGCTGACCTTGGGCTCCGTGCGGCACTGCTGCTTTGAAATACCACGGAGAGCCCGGTGTCAGGCTCCAGGGTACTCCTCATCTGACCTCGGGCTCTACGCGACGCTCTCGCCTTTGAAGTGTAGCAATTGCAATCCAAACAGTGTTACTACACTTCAAAGGCAGAGATGCCCTATCGACTAATTGAATAGTCAATGCAAAATGCATCAACTATTCGATTAGTCAATTACTCGATATTTAACATCTCTATTACTGATGACTTCGGATGGCGAATAAGCTCTAAGGGCAGAGTAGAAGTCAACAATATGTTTACTCAAATATGTCTCAATGTGCTCAATTCCCATTTGAAGACCCAATCCAAAACTTACTCAAGTTAACAGAATGATCCAAAGCCTACTAAAATGAAATGGATGTCAGGCCCAAAGTCTGCAGAAGCTGAGAAAACTGAAAATCTTGCAAGAAGTACTTAATAGTTTGCAGGACTGGGCAAGGGGAGGGGAAGAGACATACAATGATGGTTTCCAAGGTCATGTCCAAACCAGAACAACATTTTCATACTTGAACATTTTGGTACCCTCAAAGCAGAATTCCAACATCATTCTTTAATATAACTATCTCTGGTGTAATCCCAAACAGTGTCAAATTGGCACCTTGTGGTTACAAGCCCCAATGTGTATGGTCAAGTGTTTGCTAAGAAGCACTGCGGAGCGCTTTTAATTCTGAAGGATATGAGTTATGGTAAGTGGGGTATTGTCAGTGTGAGGAAGTGGTCTTGCTACTATCTGTGGCACATATTATATACAGGGGAAGATGAAGAAAAATTCCATCTTGTACATGCATGTAGTGGTTCCTTCAAAACCAGCTCCAGCATTTATAGCTGTAACTACCTCACTCATCTGAACCACCATTCTCCCTTTATTAAGGCCATGAAAACAGCTTCAGAAACTTCTGACAACCCCAAGACAAAGCTCACATCAGAGACTGACTCCGTCTGATGCAGTGTCAGAGACAACAAAGAGATGCAAGGGTCTCGCACACACTATCAAGTATCAGACCCTAACACACTGTTCTCCATGTTGAGTACCTTCTCTATTAGGTTCCCTGGAAGAAGGCTGCCCACAAACTGCCGCAGGTTCTCGCGAAGGACTGCTTTGTGGAAGAAGGATATTTTCCCATTAATGAGTCCCAGAATGGATGGTGTGCTGTGTGCTCCCAAGTGATGTGCTAGGCGTCTCTCATAGCCAGCATGGACAACTCCAATTCCCACTCCTGAAAAAGAAAGGCAAGGGATTCAGAACTAACATGCCTGTGGTCACCCAGCACACTGAGAGGATGAATTAGTCAGCGGGTACTACACAGTATTTCCCCTTCTCACATTCCAAGGAGAGTTGTATTACTCTGGTCTCAGGAATGAGTAACGATGGCACCATCTCCTCCCTAATCTTCTGCCTAAAGCTCCTTTATTTGGCATGTTAAAACCCCAAAGAAAATATTACATTCAACATACAGTGCAGCAACTTCTTGTTCCTGCGATCTTATTTTGGAATATATGTTCTCCTCCATATGGACCATACCCATTTTTGTAGATGATCCAGAAAGGGGATAGGAATTTTCACCCTGAGCAAGAAACATGATATACTTCGATTCCAGTTAAGTATTTATAATTCCAGTTGGTAGGGGAAAAAAAAACTGCCCCCCTCCCCCCCAGTAAAAAGTTTGGCTAGGTCGCTCTTGCTATATTGGGCTGCAGTACTCCTCGGGAGAAACACTTCCTGCATACCACTGCCTTTAGAAAAAGGGAAGGTGTGAAAAGGGGAAAATAGCCTCAGACTCTCCCACCCGTCACCTTGGTGTGAGAACTGCGGGGCTTACCTGGTCACATGAAACCTGTTCAGTTTCATCCCAACCCCTGGGGCACAGACCCCCCCACTTGGTGACCATTGGGCCATATATGGTAATATGCAAGCGCAGGAAAGCGACGTGCAGATTTGGGGATAAATACCCATCGCACAGTTCGCTCAAGGAGGTCTTCGCAACACATCTACCACAGTGCGTGTGCCTTCCCGTATACTCCAAAGCGCTGCTGGCCTGATTAACCAACCAGCCTCCTTCCCCGACTCTCGGGCACAACCAAGGCCTTCGCAACCGAACTGATATCTTTGAAACGTTCCGTGTGCTGTGTAAGTTGGTATGTATGATTTGATTTTCTTTGTTATATAAGCTTAGTATTGTAGTTGTTTTGGGTAGTACATAGAGTTTGTGGTTATATCTGTTATTTAATTAGTGTAGCTGGATATTTTTAGAATAGAGACTATTCCCCTTGCCATTCCCATCCTTATATGTCTGACATGTTTAAATAAATATAATAAATACTGTAAATTCATTATTAACACCGTCTATTAAAAATCTTAGAATAAATATTATAAATTCATCACTGTTATAAATAAATATCTTTGATTTACTAAAACAGTCCACCTGGTTCTGTCCTTCCCCCCCCTTGGGTATGCATCATCAGACCTGTGGTTCTCGCGACACCAGTGTTCCCTGATTTTCACTTTGGATGCCAACATTTTCTCCCATCGTCTTGTATCCTACATGAATGGCTCACAACCCTCTTTGGATTCTAGAGTGCATCTCAGTACCATTCCTGGTATAGCTCAAAGAGCGATGCAATGTTCATACTGCAGGGCTGAACATTGTAGCTCCTGACCATGCAATAATCCTTGATGGTATTTTTAATGACACAGGCACTAGGAATCACACTGCAGCAGAAAAGGAGACAATCACTGAATTTAGAGATGGAAGAGACTCCCCAGATTGCATCCCGATCATCCTCTGCCTGGGCAGGGTTTACTAAAGCCTCGTTTCATCTAATTCCAACTACTTCCAGGGATGGGGCTTTCACCAACTTCCACTGACCCAGCCATACAATTCCTAAGTGTTTTCTCATGTGTTAAGCCTACATTTCCCTTGTCTCAGTTTCACTGATGAAGACTGGTTTTAGGGAAAAAAAGAGACCAGCTTGTCTCAGTTTCACTGATGAAGACTGGTGTTGGGGGAAAAAAGAGACCAATGCTCCCTCCTCCAACTACACTGGAAAATAAAAGAAATAAATCCATTCACTGATAAACCACAAAGGAACTCGGTGGCTGAATTCACATTCAAACACAACCCCAGAAGCTGAAGTCAATTGCCACAGCCTAGGATGGAAACTGCTGAGAGCCTCTCTGAAAAAACACATTGCAGCTTGTCACAGCCTAGGATGGAAACTGCTGAGAGAGCCTCTCCCTGAAAACACATTGCAGCTTGAGTTTTTTAAATTTGCTTCTCTTACCCAGCATCTCTAGCTCCTGAACAGCCTCCTTCCACACAGGCTCAATGTGGATACAGCTGAAGCACCAGTCCGAGGTTATTTTAATGAGGTAGGGCTTTTTGAAACTGTCCGGCACAATCTCGTTCACATAGTGCGAAAAATGCAGCAAGTATTTCTCATCAGAGGAGTCTCGTCTCTCCGAATTAAATGGGAAGTGGAAAAAGGATTCATCAAAGTAAAAGCTTTCATGGAAGTGATGGAAGTGGTGGTGCTGCTGTTGAGGGTACCCCTGATTTTCACCCACGTCTCCATAACGATCGAAGTTGGATCTCTTTTCCTCATTGGAGAGGATCTGTCAATCAGAGTTAAGAAGATTGAAAAGAAACAAGGGTTGGCTGGCTCATACTGAATGAGAACTAGAAGGATGACAATTCCCCTTCTTAAAATAACTGAATGGCAATAAGGAGCAGACATACTGGGAAAAGGAATTCCTGTTGCTGAATGTCTACCCAATTGAGCTCCAAGAAAGGGAACTGTCATATCTTGTCTCTGTAGCAAAATCCATTTATGTGGCATGGCGTGAAACAGAGCTCACATGAAGAGACAGAACATTTAGTTGGAGAATTCCAGCTTCCTAGCTCTGACACTGTATGTCTTCCAAATTCTTTTATTATTTCAGTTTCTCAGCTAACAGGCCATCAAATCGAGTCCTAAAACAATCATAGTCCAGCAGACTACTTTGGCTTTCTCACAATGTCAAACATTTAACAGTCAAATGAACTGGGAGAGCTGATATGCTCAGGTAAACAAGCAGAATTTGCAGCAAAAACTGTCTATTGAACTGGTAGAGGAAAATTCAGATTATTCCTGGGGACTCAGCATGGTAAGAAAAGCATCATCAGAGATGCAACATGCTGCAGTAGCTGATTCAGTGAGGCTTGGACGAGTGACCTGCAAGTGCTACTTATGCAAATAATGTTTTAGAAGTGACTAAAGCTTTCAAACCATTAAACCCACTTACAACATCACTGGAACGTGCACAACAAATACAAAGAGGTGGCACCAGCCTGCTCTGCTAAGCTCAATGGACACTCCTTACTTTTTGCTTGATGCTTTTCAAGAATCAAAAGATAGAACTTTACATTTATTCTTTCACAATATTTCCAATTGTGGGATGTTCATGATTTATTGAGATTAATTCACATCTGAGTATTAAATGGATAGTGATTTGATTAATTCACATCTGAGTATTAAATGGATAGCAATTTTTTTAAGACTGCAGCTATCAGCAACTGTCTTTTTTCTTTTTTTTTCTTCAAGAAAACCTAGACAAATTCCACCACCCAACCCTTCCATACACAGAGCCGAGAAATTGTTCCATGTAGACATAACAGGAAAATAGTAAAGGCTACTTGTGAAAGATGAACAGCACTTTCCAGACTCTAATATACATCCTAAAAACAGCACAAAGTTACCAAATGGTGTCCAATACCTCATAGGCTTTGCTAATTTGTATAAACTTATCTTCTGCTCCTGGGTCCTTGTTTTTGTCAGGATGCCTACAATGCAAAAATACAGAAAATGGATTTTATCCTTTAGAAAGCAGCAGCAGTTTATCACAGAAAGGCAAAAGTACGCCACTAGGGTTGTCAGCTTCAGTGCAATACTCCTATTAAGCAGGATATGTAGACATTAATGCCATTTACTGGTATTTACTTCTTAATTCGTCTGATGTTTAAAGCAGATTTATGGCAAAAGTCTATTTCTCCCACACAGGTTGAACCACATAAAGAATTTCAACAGGATTTGAGTGGTGTATGTGGAAGCATTTCCTCGGTTTCCAATTTTGTTTCATAAATAAATGATCCAAGTGGAACTAAAAACTAGATTTGACACCAGGCAGAAAATTCCTTCAGCAATAATCCTACCAATTTCAAAGATACATGCACTAGCTGCTGCCCTATATATATTAGGCACAGCAACTATTTGGTATATTTGCAATTCTATTCTGAATCTTAATAATTTTCTTGTATAATGCCTCGGTTCTGAGAGACCCCTAAAGCTACAGATAACAGTACAGATAATTTCCAGATACCATACATTCAAGATACAAGAGTACAGATAATTTCCAGATACCATACAATAGCTCTCACCTTCAGTGTTAAAACAGGTCTTATTGTGTGGTCATAACTTGAGTTAGTTTACTTCACTTCTTTTCAGAAACCTCAAAAATTTGACTAAAAAAAAAAAATCACTGACTTGAAGCTGGCCATGATCAATTTTTTTAGATTGACTCAGTTGAGTTATTGGCTGGCTGTGAGGAGCACATGTAACTAATTAGCACATGTGACCAGCCTGTGTCAATGTTCCCTCTAATTTTTCCACATATATATGCGAAATAAATATGTGCACCAAGGTATGTGTGGATGTGCAACACCAATAGAAACACATGTTGGTGGCTGTGGGCATTCTGCTAATCAGCTGGGTGGTATTTGAATTTCTCCAGGGTAGCTGCCCAGGTGCACAGCTTACAGGGAACACTGGTGAGTGTTACTCAGTAACAATTCCTATGACAACCCTAAAGATATAGTACAGAAGTTATTTAAAGCCATTTGCTTCTTAAATTTCTGCCCTCAGTGATTCTTCTAATATGTTATATTTTGTAAAGTACAAAACAGAAGGGGGGAATGTTATATTTTGTAAAGTACAAAACAGGAGGGGGGGAGTTTCATATTAGACCTTCCAAAGTCTGATGCCCAGAGCATTGGATGAACTGGAAGAAAATGCCATCAGGAAATATTACAGCATATGCAATATGCACTAGTAGGTATAATTCAGGGCCAGATCCTGCAGTTTGCATTGACATGTGTAATCTTTCATCTTGTGAATAGTCTCACTGAAGTTGACAGGTCACTGGTGCAAGGCATGTGGGAACAAGACTCATATACAGAATTTAGGGTCTGACTGACCTTTTACATAGAATACACATACAAACAAGAAAACTAAACATTACAGGTACAATTCCAGAAACCTTATTTGAGTAGTACTTACTCACAAAAGAGGTGCCATTGACTGTAATGATACTACTCATTGAAGTAAGTATTTCTCACTATCAGGCTGCAAAATTGGGCCCTTTATTAAGAAACACTGTACAGTTTTTCTTTAAAAGAAAAAAAGTTTCTTCCTGCTCAGCAGATACATTTACCTGAAAACTGTGGGGCAGCTCTTCAGATGGAATAAATCAGTATACTTACATTGTGGATTTACAATGAATTACACCAGCTAAGGCTCTTGCTCACTAGTTATAATATGGTTTTACTGAACATGGTAAGAGCAAGTACACTGTCAGGGTAAAATGGTTATTGTATAATTTTAAATGTCTTTGTTTTTATTTTGTAGATGATGCTTTTTCTCACAAATATTTGGTGCACTCATGAAAACAGCTGACTCTGCCTTGCAGAAATCATTTAATATGCAATGTATTTTGAAACACCTACCATTCCCGGGCAAGCTTCTTATAAGCCTTTTTAATATCAGCCTGGCTGGATGTCCTGCTGACCCCAAGGATTCTGTATGGATCAAAATCCACTGCAGATAAAATTTGCAGGACCAAGACCAGAACCAGGACCACAATCAACGAGATGCTTAATTTTTTCAGTTCCATTTCTCTTCCTTTAGGCAACCTGGACAGAAGAGTTTTCGCATACATAAAACAGAAGTGCAAAACTAGGGGTTGATGCAAAATCTATGTACCCCTTTATTTAATCCTACACCAGTGGCAAAACTGCAAGACCAAAAGCCCCATTTCCTTCAAACAACTAGGACCAGAATTCATCTCTTGGATTACTAAAAAGGTAGGATTTAGTAGGGTCTGTTCTTGCCCTTGCATGTGATGATCATCATATCATTCCAATTATAATTTTGCTTCCCTGTGTAGTTCAACATTTTAGTAGCTTCTATCTTGAGAACTCTACAGCAAGACACTTGTGCTTTATACCTAATAGGAGCTCACTACCAGTTTTCAGGTATTAAAAAGCAATAAACAATAGGGCTGTCTAGACTGGCAAGTTTTTCCGCAAAAGCAGCCGCTTTTACGGAAAAACTTGCCAGCTGTCTACACTGGCCACTTGAATTTGCGCAAGAACACTGACGATCTGATGTAAGATTATCAGTGTTCTTCCACAAATACTATGCTGCTCCCATTCGGGGAAAAAGCCCTCTGCGCAAATGTATTTGCGCAAGAGGGCCAGTATAGACAGCTCAGTACTGTTTTGCGCAAAAAAGCCCCAATAGCAAAAATGGCGATCGGGGCTTTCTTGCGCAAAACCGCATCTAGACTGGCACGGACGCTTTTCCGCAAAAAGTGCTTTTGCGTAAAAGCATCCATGCCAATCTAGACGCTCTTTTCCGCAAATGCTTTTAATGGAAAAACTTTTCCGTTAAAAGCATTTGCGGAAAATCATGCCAGTCTAGACGTAGCCTAGCTGTTTCTGCCATCCCATTATCTAAAGTCTTTTATCAGGACTAGCAGAGACACTTAAGAGACCAGTACACTTTTCAAAATGCAGTAATCATTACTATGTAGTAATCAGAAACCGAAGTCTTTTGATGGCTGACAGTTACATGGGACCATGTTAGTTGAAGAGACAATGCCACCTTGAATTTCTTCTTGAACCTTTTTTTCCCCCCACCTGATTCCCTATTATAACTGGACTTTTAATAACTCCATTCATCTGATGAAAGCTCATAATACCATCTACATGTTTTGTTAGTTGTTAAGGTGCTGCTAGACTATTCCTTGAACTCCAGTCAGTTCAAAAAGCGTGTTAGAATATTTTTAGTTATTACTCCTGCCCCCCCATGTTGTTCTTTTTTATCCATATTTTCCTATTATAAATAAAAAACCCTTCTCTCCTAGTTTCAGAATGTGATCCTATGGCTAAGCGCACAATGGTAGCAGTGAAACTGACTACAGAAAAGCTGCCATACACATTATTAATTTTTTTTATTCTTTCATTTTGTTTAATCTATTACCATTATCTTGAACACTACTTGCAACAGCAAGCAAAACCATTTACAGCTGTGGTGAGATTGTTAAACTAACAGCGTACATAAGTTTATTCACAGATGTTATTTATAACACATTACGAACAGGGGAAAGATTTTTTTAAATCCAGCTTTTCACTGTTTATGCTTTTTGCTTATAGGCTGCATAGTTCACATCTTGAGCAATGACGGTAAGTACAGTCCATTTTACCAACAGGTTCTCAGAGCTACCATCACTGGTCTAGCGGAGGGGGGGGGGGTTGTTTAAAGAGACACACGAGCACGGAACACTGAAAAAAAAATCCTCTCCCCCCCCCCCCCAGTATTTCCCAGCTCTTATAGACTCTCATGGGTGTGAAATGTACATTTGGGGGCACGTGTCATGTGACACCCCCCAGCGCTTGACATCCCAGCCTGACAACGCGGGGTACCCCAGGCCGGGGGTTGCGGTGGGAGGAAGAGCCGGGAACCCCGCTCGTTTCTGCGCCCCGTGCTTCCCGGCGCTGCTTCCCAGCAGGACCCCCAGCCCCCCACAGCTGCCCCCCCCGTCACCGCCCATCGGGTAGCCCTGGCCACACCCCAATGCCGCCCCCCAGCAGGGCGCCCCGACCATGCCAGGCCCCAGGCGCCGCTCGGAGCCCGGAGCGGGCGGGCGGGCGAGACGGCCCGAGGGGAGGGTCCGCCCTAGATCACATGTCGAAGCCCCTTAAAGGGGCAACGCTCACCCCAGGCTGGGACCCCAATGAGATGGGGGGGGGGCGATACCCACCCTGTGCTCCGGGCGCCCGGTCCCCGCTTCCGGCTTCGCCGCCCCGCCTCTCAGCCGTCACCATAGAGACGCCGCTCGGCTCACTTCCGCTCTCCGCTCCGCCCGGTCATAGAGACGCGATACGGGCTATAGAGAAGCGCGGCCCTCCAAGAGCTAGCGAGTCCCATCGCGCGGAGCATGGCGGGATACAAGCGGAGATGCAGGTGGGAGGGGCACGGCCTGGCGTGGGGAGGCATTGGCATCCCACCACTCAGGCCTGGGGTGTGTCGTGGTGTCAGGCTGTCACTGTGGCGCTGTGTCATGCTGTGATGTCATGTCATAGCAGGGGCGCTGGAACAATTGTGTGTGAGGAGGGTGTGTGTGTGCCTGTGCC